TTTTCTCGAAGTGCACCCATTGGTCAGCTCTCTGCTCTCCGTTCTCGATGGCACCTCCAGTCGGAGGAGCTAGAGTCGGTGTATAATGAGTCACGCCAAGAGTGAAGCCAAGTCTACCTATTGAACTGTCAAACCGGCTACCTATCGTGCAAAGTAAACAAGCATTACGATGCTATGAAAGGTCCACGAAAGGTATTGCAATTAAATAATAAATATAACCGAAGAAATGATCGTATACACGCAGTGAGCATTACATTTGTCATGCGATACGTTTTGTAATGATCAGTAATGACAATTTTTACTATTTTTCCTTAAGATAATTCGACAAAATCACTGATATAATGATTTACTACAGCCGTTAATTTTTTTCCCCGCTAGAAGTCATTTGAAGTTGATGCAGAAGTCCTCTGTTGCCAAGTTAAAAGAAAGGGAATCTTTCGAGAACCGTGATGCGAGTTCAACTGTTTTTCTCTTGGCGTGACTCATTATACACCGACTCTAGGAGGAGCGATAAGTTGCTGGAATAAAAAGGGTTATTACTGTTTTGTTCTACGAACTGAAGCATTACATTTACTTTGTACTTTTTTGCCAAATTATTCCACTTAGCCTTGATCTGGTCGATGGAAAAGCTTTGCAGTCCCGAAGCTTCTAGGATGGTTCTGAAAATCATTGAATATAGGCAGGGTTACTTCCACTCACTTGCTATAAAAAGATGTTTTTCAGAATTATGAAATCATGCAATAGTATAATGTAAATTAGTACTTGTTAGTTACAAGAAGAGCTCATGAAGTATATATTTGACACATAAAATCTGTTGATATTGCTTTCAGTGCGTCACAATCAGCAATTTTAGACTTGTGAGCGCTCACTCAGAGTGAACACTCACGAATGATAAGATCGCTGATTGTGACGCTCTGAAAGCGAAATTGACAGGTTTTATGAGTCAAACACATACTTTACACCCTCTTTTTGTTACTTAAAAGAAGTACATACCATTATAACATCTAATGATTGCTAAATTCCGAAAAATATTATTTTATAGCAAGTGAGTGGAAGCAACCCTGAATATAGGTAAAATATTTGGACAGAGCACGAATAAAATAGTTCTTACCGCCAGGCCTCCTTTTTGTCAAAAAACTTATTGGTAAACATTCCGTTGTGTTGAATCCGGCTGTTTACCAAATCGGAAACTTCGGTCACACTCACTGGAAAAAGAAAAATGTTAATCATATTAATATAATAATATCACGATTTATACTTTTTTACGCCTTTTGCTTGCCCTCCATTTCGAACCACCAAATTTCACTCTCGATTTGACCAACAACAAAAAAACACTTGATACGGGATGCGCTCTTTCACTTCTACCGAGCCCCAATGAAGCTTACTGTCAAATCACTGAGATCTGAAAATAACTATCGAACTGTCAAAACTAACCATGCTCCAGAGTAGAGTTGTTTTCAACCGGAGGGGAAGTAACTATCGATCTGTCAAATTTTAACCAAAAGTTAAAAAAATTCGCCAAATGGTTCAGAGCCTTAGACGCTCTTTCGGCGACCCGATAATTCTCTACCCATCGGACGTCACAGAATTTCAATGGAAACAAAGAAGAACCAGCCACTGATGAATATTCAGCTCAGCGTAACGGCACATTTTTAAACAGACTGTACAACGAGAGCAAAAATTCGTCCAAGTTCCAATCTGTTTTCTTCGCTCCACATTTGAATGCATTATTCACTACGTGAAGACCACAGCTTCCAACATTCAAAATTTCAAACGTTGAACTTCCTCGAAGCTCTCAGCTCAACCGATAAGTCCTTCAGAAATTTCCAGTTCACATTCGGTCCATCCATTGAAATTTGAACGATTTTCTTCAAAGTACTAGGATTGATTTTGAAACATTCCTTCAGCCCAATCAGCAAGTCACTCGCACGCGTAGATGATAGAAACGCAGAACCGACATAGTTTGTTCGAACTTCACATTTTTCCTTGTCATAGTACCGAACAGAAATATCCATCTGCTGTCGTTGGGCGATTTTGTTCAGCGACTCGTCAAATCCAACGACGATCCTTGAGGTCTGATTCAAAGTTTTGAATAGGTCCTCCTGAAAGGATAGAGCCACGCCGTAACCTATTTTCATACGACCCACACGCATCTATGAGGCAATTTCGCTATCCGGGAACATCTTCTTGAAAATGCCAACATCAGCACTCGCACTTCGGTTGGAATTATGGGTGAAAGCCGTTTCAAGCACCCACCTGCTGTTATAACTTTCTCTCGTAACACATACTTTTTCATGTTCACTGCGTATCCACTACTGATTGGTTCTGCCTCTGCTGTACTGGCTCCATCGAAATCCTTGGCAAGTACAACAACACCTGAAATATAAATAGACAAATTGTAATATATGAATCGGTCATAAGGCTATATTTCAGAACGTTTACCATCAGACGACTTTACTTGTGACTGAAAACAGGTCAACTTCATGTTCGTGCGTCAAATATTGGCTTTGATGAAATTTTCCTTTTTCGTAGCTACTAAAAGCCACCCTACCCATCGTATCTATTTCATAGATCATATTTTTAATCAATTTACTTGGTTTTACAGCTTTAATAGTCTTCTTCGCAAACCTATTTTGACCACAACTTGCGAGGATCAATGAATAAAATCATTTAAATAATTTGAATCACTGCTTGCTCGGATAATACCATACTTCTCGATGATTTTTAGAAATTCTAGGTACGTCCACGCAAAGCAACATTACCGTCGGGTAATGAAATCATCGAAAGAAGTCATTGTTGAAGCCTTACACTACCTACTACACTACTTTCAAGAAATCATCAAAAGAAGTCATTGTTTACAAAAGCTGTTACGCTCTAATTCCAGCTCTATCTTGATATGGGAACTGACATCCGTTTGATGAGCTTGACAAATGTCCAACACATAATCTTACTAATTTATGGTGGTCTTGATAAGGTCTGTTTTGTCGTGATGGTTGAGTAATGCTAAGCTATTAGGGTGTTAAACACACGCTTGGCATAGATGACCCACAGCGACTCACCAAGAGCTTCTGATTCAGATCAATAGCGGTGCGGCTTCTTATTCCTTCTATGTATGCTCATGTCGGCTGCAGCTCGCTGCTTGCAAGCAGCCTTTTATTGTGTACTGGAGAACAATGTTGAACGTCACACGCCGAAAGCACTGCTGCTGTTGCTGCTCCTGCTGATGCCGACGACCGGACACCACCACACACGGTGATTGGACTGAATCCGATCAGCGGTTGAGGGCAGCCTTGATAGCTAGCTGCTTGCGGGTAGCCTTTCGTTGTGTACTGGAGAACACCACCACTCACCACGCGGTGGTTGAATAAACACCATTTGTTGAGACCGGATGGAATTCAACTTTGAAATCTGTGTTAGGGAAATCGCTTTCGCAGGCAATCGGTGACATTTAGAAAAATTATAAAGTCTTTTTATCAAATGCGTAGAAATTTTTCTGATCGATTGGTGATACAATTATTGAAATTGGTCGAGGGGCAGCTGAGTTATTAACGTTCAAAATCTTTCATAAATTTGTTACATGTTCTATTTTCGGTTTTCACTAAGTGTACTCCCATATAGAAATTACTTCCCGCTACAGATACAAGAGTGGATGCAATCTACACGGAAATTCGCATCAACTCAAAATTGAGTCGAACATGCTCATTTCAGCGGGAAGTATGGCTACTCAAAAGTGAGTACGCGCACTTTTACTCACTTTTGAGTAAACGACGTTCTCGCGCAGAGTGAGTCAAAACCACTCTGTGATATTTTCAGCCGGGAAGTTTGGTTTTTTATTTTTATTATTATTTTTTTATGAAAAATTGTTATTACCTGCTTCAGATTTATTTAGCTCGAGCTGAAGACGACTGAAAACCGTCTCCGCATGCAAATCCTACTTACCTTCATACATTTCGGTCGGTGTTATACAATAATTTCGCCGTTTCATACAGTGCTTGCTCCGACACGACTGGCATTTTTTCTAAGTTCCGGATTTGGCTGACTGAGTGGCTTTTACTCAGTTTGGCATTTCTCGTTTACACAGATTTTGACAACCTAATGCATCAGACGACATGGAGTACGATCGACTCACCCGGTGAGTAAGCTGAAGTAAGAGTGTAGGCAGTGAGATTGGGTACACTGAAACAAGGACCATAGTTAGGAATACTATTTTGCAGAAAACACTTATTTTCAAAAACCACGCAAAACCACGCTGCCAACAACCGTTAAATCTACTATGATTTCAGTATAGTTGACTATGAATGTTAATAAAATGTACTATGGTACTAGCAAAACTACTATGCTTGATCAAAATGCATAGTAATTTTTATAGAAATAATAGTAAAATGAAATGAAATAGTTTTCTGCTAAAATCTATTGGTGAGGGTATTTAATTTAAACCAGCAATATAGTATTTTTGCCAATGGATTTTGTTTCAGTGTAGACTTAGAATAGCGTGAAACGTACGCAGCCATATTATCTCAAAAATGTTTGGCTAAGAGGGTGTTTGGTTTTGTTTTCAGTATGTGTCGCCGTTGCCAGTTTTCCACATAATTCAAGCAGTTTGTTTACCCTGCCGTATCGTTCTGCACGAAACGAAACGTATTGTTGACGATTCTCTGTACACCGTTCAACTGTATGCTTTTTTTTTCATACCTACTTACAAAAAAATATCAACAAGCAACTCGTTTGTCAAGTTAAAACATAAGAAAGCCATTGGAAATCGGGACGAATCACAAAAAGTTTACTTGTTTCCGCCCGGGATCGAACCGGGGGCCTTCCGCGTGTTAGGCGGATGTGATAACCACTACACCACGGAAACAGATGGATATACTAGCCATCAATTTCAATCAGTTTATTTGTTACTTAACCAACATTCAATTTACTACAACCTAGGAATAGCTTCGACAAAGATTTAGTTCTACTTCAATAACCAATAACCTAAATGAAAAAGAACTCTCTCATTAATGAACTGACTATATTTTCCTTAACACAATAAAAATCTAGGAAACTAAAACTACCGCTAAAAGAAGTCATCTCTTCGTCGAATCCCGTTGCCATACGTAGGACCAAAACGTGTACTTTGCCACAAGGAACAGCCCTACGAAACCGATTGGCTTCATAAGCTGCACCTTGTATCGCTGTCGTCGTTGGCTAGCGGCATCCGCTTGCATTTTCTCGTCCTCGGTCTTTGATTGTCACGCCAGCTTCCGTTCGGTATGAAGTGCTCTTACCGACGACTGCTGGCCACCTGTTGTATGGGAAGACTGCTTTGCTTCCAAAACGGGTTTCTTGGCAGACGGCTCAGGGGGAGCATTTTCCACTGGATTGTTAACCGGAAGGATTTGAAATCTCAAATCGCTATCTCGGAAGCGTTTTTGAACGATTTTTCCCACATCCTTCGTCCAATTTTCGAACTTGGTAGCGACGGCCTCCTGTTTGGATTTGTCGCCATCGCCGGAAATAATGATACGGACTTCGTACTGTTTGGTGAGCCACTTTTGGACGTGATGAATCTTAGACATAAGATCATGTTCCGTGATCCGAGCACTGACGTTGAGCAGTTTATCGCCTTTGATGGCCGCTTCCTGTTTGGTACGTTTCTTCTCCTCACGGCGCTTCAAATCCTCCTCCAGGTATTCTGCGCTTGACATGAGTCTAAAAATGGAAATTCTCTTTAATTTATTTCATATTAACCATACCGTTACGACTATTACTTATAAACGGGGCGCTGTGTCTTCATGTCCAAATCGACAATCTTAACTAGTTTGAGGTCCCGTCGTTTCGAAATCTTTTGCGCCTCGTCCAGACTCACAATCGATACCGCTTGGTCCGGTCCGACTAGGGTGATCTTCGGTGCCGTTTTCGGTTTTCTCACCGCAGTAGCCGGAGTAGTTCCAGCCTGTGCAGCTCCCCCTACATCCGCAGGCGATTTCGACGATTTTGAAGCATACTGAACGAAATTACTTACCGCAGCCGGAAGAGCACGACTGGAAGCTGCGAGCGATGATCTATAATGGAACGTGGTACGAACGATTCTTCCAAGGACGTTCATTTCGTCGCATTCAGGTTCGTTTTCTTTCTCGCGAAGGTTTATTTTTAATGCGATACGCAAAAGATGAGCGATGAGCGATGTAAACACGGTCGAACGACGATGTTTTGTTCGAATTTTGCCATCAGCTGGTTTTGACACAACGAGTCTAACGAAGTACTAGATTGAAGTGATTGGAAGAACGCAGCCAACTTGCTCTTTAAATTTGCTTGTTGCGGAATGTTTCAGCGCTGAGCACGTGGTCACTTTGGTGTCTAAAAATTAAGGATCAGCCCGAGTCAGTGCTGAGATTTGTCATTGTCATTGACAGACTTTTGCGCGATATTGACAAAATTTTTTTTCACATAGTCAATGATAGACTTGATCCTCAAAAAAATCTTTGTCAAAATCTCATTCATTTTTTCGTCAATGACAAAGATTCACCTGGTAACAGAAAGTGTAATTTCTTGCATTCTGAGACGTAGACGTAGATGCTTATTCACTTTAATGGCTCCATGTAATTGTTTTGCTCAAGCCATTTAATTTCATCTCAAATTTAGCTAATAAACAAATCAGCACATGTTCGTCACTGACAAAAATGCTACTGACAATTGGCATGGTTTGCCTTGACGATGACTGTTAGCTCAAACGAGTGACCAAAGCAGAATTTTGAGTATCACCGTGTATTGTCGAAATTTTGCAGCACTGGCCCGAGTATTCGACCACCATAATATTTAAGTAAAAATGATGCCCCTTCCCTTATTAATTTAATTTCAAGGGAAAGAATATCGCGGAAAAATTGCCTCCTTAAATTCGTCTCCATGGCTCGTCGAAACGGAATTTCACAGAATATTTTGTCGTTTATTTCTTGTTTCGAAAATTTCGATTTTAATATATAGATTTTAACAGAATTCCGCATAATTTCGTCTATTTACAATATTCCTATTAAAAAAACAATCTGAAAACGAAGAAGTCCAAGGCCAATCAAGTGAAATTTCAGGGTTTGCACAATTTTGTCAATTTATCTATATATCTATCTATCTATATATATAAAAATGAATTTCTGTCTGTCTGTCTGTCTGTCTGTCTGTCTGTCTGTCTGACCCTTATAGACTCGGAAACTACTGAACCGATTGGCGTAAAAATTTGTATACAGGGGTTTTTGGGGCCGTGGAAGGTTCTTATGATGGTTCGAGAGCCTTCCCCCTTCTGTAAGGGGGGGCTCCCATACAAATGAAACAGAAATTTCTGCATAACTCGAGAACTATCAAGCAAATGGAACCAAATTAGGCATGTGGGGGCGAGTGTGGAGGTATAAGGAGATAATCATAGGGGGTAGCCCCTTAGATAATAGGGGGGAGGGGTTACGTACAATATATCATGCTTTTTTTTTAATTCGGCGCATAAACTCAAGCTAATATTGAATCCCGAGCAAGACCGGGCACACTCAGCTAGTAGGTATATATAAATGAATTTCTGTCTGTCTGTCTGTCTGACACTTATAGACTCGGAAACTACTGAACCGATTGGCGAGAAAATTTGTATGCAGGGGTTTTTGGGACAGGGAAAGGTTCGTATGATGTTTCGAGACCCCTCCTCCTGTGTATGGGGGGGGGGGAAGGCTCCCATACTAATTAAACAGAAATTTCTGCATAACTCGAGAACTAATCAAGCAAATGGAACCAAATTTGGCATGTGGTGGTATAAGGAGATGGTCATAGGGGGTAGCCCCTTAGATAAGAGGGGGGCTACATTCGATATAGCATGCTTTTTTTTTTAATCAGCGCATAAACTCAACCTAATATTGAATCCCGAGCAAGACCGGGAACACTCAGCTAGTTTCTAATAAAAATATTATTATTATTTAGCTTTATATAGGAGGCTTTCAGCCTTAGGCTGGTTCGCCTCCACCAAATAAAAATATGTTTTACAGTCGCCATCAAGATCTATGTTTTTAACATGCGTTAATGCAATCAAACCATTGGAAAAGTAAAATATCATTGTGCTCAGAAAACGAAGCTCTTTCGGAAACGGATACATTTTAAAAAATTGAAGAACCCAATTCAGATATTTTTTTGAAGACTGAAATATAAAATGTTCGAAATTGTTTGTTTGAAATTAAGCTATGCTACATGTTAATTATACGAAGATTGAGCATAGATATTCATATATAAAACAACTAGCAGACCCTGCGAACTTCTTTCCGCACAAAACTTAATTTTTGTGCTAAGCAATTCCGAGCATTCACGATTCAACCCCTTTTTTTGCTGCGGGCGGAGATGTACACAATAATAAAAAGTCAGCTCAAATCGGATGATCCGTTCTTAAGTTATATATATCATATGTTTATTTATTTATGTATTTTTTATCTGATGAGACAACAAAACCTTACCCCCAAGCTCCTCCCCTGATCCTATCCTTCAAAAATGTATCTCTCTAATCTCGAGTAAGCCGCGAGTATTCGGCCCAACTCCTACTAGACATAGAATTAAGTGAATTTTGTTAGTCACTAGAAATAACCCAGGTTGCTTGGTTATCCATTTGTATGCCTCTTTTCACACCTACTCAATAGCAGTCCCGTGGTTTCACAAAATCGGCATTTCAAATTCTGAAAAGGGACAAGTTTTAATGCAAGTATTTTGGTTAAGGGTCAAGTGGGGGCGGTCTGGTTTCTTCACCATTTTATTGTATTTTCTTGTGCTTTCAATTGCTCAAAGAATGGCCTGCTCATTTTTGCCCGTTTAGAAGCTATTGATATTGGAAGTTGGGTAATTTTCAACCAAAAAATGTAAATAACTTTTCAAATATTGATGGTAGCAATTTGCAGTCTTGTAAAAAGATATGTAATTTGATATTTCTAACATCTTTGTAGAACATGCCAGACATGTAGAAATATTGTAGAAAAAGTTACAGATGCAAAACTGATTTTAACGATGTCTCCAAAAAAAAAACCTTTTTATCTCAGAAGTTATAAGAGCTAGAAAGTTATAATCTTCAGCAAAGTTGTTCACAGTAATGTTTCCTACAGCTTTGCCCGGCACAATTATTTTGTATCTTATTATGTTAAAAAAATAAATTTTGCATCTCACTTTTAGGTGGATTAATCTTTAATTTTCTTTTACCATAAGAAGGAGTGTTGTAACCCAAGAAACTTCTCAGAAGACACCTAGTAGCTTTAATCAACCATTTCAGCGTAAATAAAAAAAGCGTGTGTTTTGATACCCTTGGCACCACTGTGCAACGCAGCCAGTTCTTGAAAGCCTCCTGGAAAATGATATACACACTGGAGTCGCTTTTTACGCGGGTGAAACGTCCCGCGTAAAAAAAAACCACGTAAATTCCGGAATCCGCGTAAAAAAACGTGTAAAAAACCGCGTAAAAAGCGACTCCAGTGGATAACGATAAACCGCGTAAATTCTGAAATCCGCGTAAAAGAAATCCGAAATCCGCGTAAAAAACCGCGTAAATTCCGAAATCCGTGTAAAAAAAACCGCGTAAAAACCGTGTAAAAAAACCGCGTAAAAAAACCGTGTAAAAAAACCGCGTAAAAAGCAAGCTACATCATTTTCCTTGTCTATTTGATATATTTTTCACATCGAAGATGCGTCACACATATCAAAACGGCCAGGCCTACTGTGCAGCATTTAAGGGGCAAGATGACCCAGAAAACATCGAAGATTTGAACACAATGTTTCAGAATCCAATAAACGGATGAAACGTGGAAATCTCGTACTGTACGATCCGATTTTGGTAATTATATGATTGGTTGGTCGTTGGAAGCATCAAAGCTAGAAAGGTTAAGTGATGCTCCATTTTCTTCTGACGGTTGGGGCATGAGCACTAACTCTTGTCCTAGCCTTTTATGACTTATGGCTATAGCGCCATTACTCGTTTTCTGAAAAGAGAAGAGGGAAAGGAAAAGGAGAAGGACAAAGAGGAAAGGATTATGTGAAATCTATGAGCATAAACAATATTTTTGATTTGAAATATACAATATAGAAATGCATAACGGCGCGGTCACTACCCGAGTCTTGTCACTATTATCAAGTCATAAAAAGTAACAAGGGCTAAAATGTGATCCTTTGATTACTGGAAAATCCTGATTCCCTAGTTTGAAGTTGTCACGACTAGGGTTCGGTGGTAGATCTTATACCAGTAACGCACCACAAAAAGGTGATCTCCCAACGTTACTGGTTTGAAAAGATAAAAATTTACAAAACGGAACGAACCCGCTTAAAGGCGTTCCAATGCGCTCAAGGGACTGATTTTTTTTTTGGACACAGCTGGATCGAGTAGAAACACCTAAAATCTACTCGAAGGTTAAATGTTGTCAGACACAATTAATTGTAACATGTATTGTTACCGCGAGGCAATTAATTTAAAACCAAAACCATAAGATACCCACATAGTTGCATCTCGCTTGCATAGCCCTAGCTGACGTTGATACCAAGGCCAAGAATATGAAATGAAAAGTAGGGCAAAAGGAGCGAGAGCTCGTTTTACATAATCTAACTGCAGTATTTACTTAGGAACGTTTCTGCGTTCAAGTAGGATAAACACGCCCACGCATGGCATGCTTGCGCATCTAGGTTACGTTTAGCTTTCCCTCTCTGTTTATTCTTAACGAAGGATATAATTATAATGTTTAAACGTTACAAATGTCTCATTCTTATTTGTAGAGCCATATCAGATCTGAGTTACGAAAATAAATAAACTTACAAGATATCTGAGAAATCCCTCTAAGGTCTAAACAACACAAATTTACCCTTTCAAGGGCGATCGGAATCCTAGCTAATTAGAATAGGCAAATTAGGTTAAAGTTCGGTATTGAAAGGGATATGTTAAACCCTGGACAAATCATGTAAAAGTTTTACATAATTATAAGTTGCTAATGCAACACGTAGCCGTAAGATCACTTTGTACAATTTTGTTGAATAAAATTAAATTTCGTAGGTTACTCCATATTCTTCTCTTTTGAATCCTAAAGAACTTTCGGCCTAGAAGTGAAAACTTCTCTCCTTAACCGGAGAAAAAAGTAGCTCCTAGAAGAACTCTTGACTTGGAAGTGAAAACTTCTCTCCTTAACCGGAGAAAAAAGTAGCTGCTAGAATCGAGAAACAGTGTCTGACCTAGTAAGCGAAAGACTCTCCCTAACCGGAGAAGAAAGTAGCTTTTGGCGGCGACATGTATTAAGAGACGCACACATAGCGGCGCCGGTAATCGTGATTGCATCTCACCCCAAAGGGCCTGGGTTCAATCCCAGTCAGCGCTGCTGGGATTTTCTGAGGCATTAAATCTCTGATTACAAATTCCTTCGGAAGGGAAGTAAAGCCGTTGATCCCCGGTCTATGAGTTTTGATGGGTTGATAGGAAGGGTTTTTCAGGTGTGGGAGCTGCCTCCCTGGCGTCGGTAGCATTGGTACTCAGTACGGAAAACAAGATCGACGGAAAAAAATCAAGAAAAAAAAATATTAAGGGTTGTGTCCTAGACACGACCGCAGTATGACGTAGAACTACGCAAAATTGGTGTATTTCGTGCATTTTTGACCATTATACCTTATCTTAAATTTTTCAAGTATTACAATGTTGGTTCAACGTACGTGTATCTCTTAGCGGAAGTGAATATTCACTGTAATTATTTTTGAGAGGCATTGTGTACTACCGCAAACTACTTTATTAGAAATATTCTCAGTGATTATTCACTTTCGCTAAGAGACACATCTACCTGGAAAAGCAACCGTTTCGTGATGAGTGTGTGTTTGCGATTTGCGATTTGCGTCCATTTTTACAGTGGACGCGCAATGCCCCCCTTTGGCAATGTTGCCATACTTTGAAACCACTGGAAGTGAATAGAGGAAGCTTTTTGGATAGCTGTAGATGCTGCGGTTTATATAAGGCATGAGGCTAATTGCGACCTTAAACGAATAAAACTTATCATGTGACACCTCAAATCACATTAGAATGAAAAAAAAACTAGTTCAATGGTAGTCATTTGGTGACCCTGTGACACATTGGCCATGTTTTGATTCCTCCGGACAAGTGGCCAGTTACTGAATATGGTCGAAACCATCGAATCACTACCACTGACTCACTCCTGCCTGCTGCAGGACCCAGTGCCACGCCACTTTTCAGGTTCAAGCAGAACGATGTGCAACCAAGTGGTACTCGATTATGACGACTGGGTTTGGGGAAAACATTTATTTCATGAAAAAAATTATAACATTATCATTTGCAAATTTTTCAAAAGTTTTTTATAGAAAATTGGAAAAGCATTTATTTCAGAAGATGCGTAAAGTAATATCCTATCGATTGGCGTATTTGGATTTTCATTTCATCTATAAATGACAAATTTATGAGCGTTGAAAACCTAACACTACTTCACCACACATATTTTTTGATTTGGACCCCAGTATCCAGCTTTCCATTCTCAGTAATGGCGGCCTGTTTGTATGAATAAATGTATCCTTCCCTGTGCTATCTGGAGGTTCGCATTTTGACCCCTCCTTTTCTCTCTCCCAGGAACAGAAGAAAATGAAACAACATACGCCCTCCAGATAGTGTCAAAAAGCACAGTGAAGGATACATTTATTCATACAAACAGGCCGCCATTACCGAGCATGGAAAGCTGGATAGTCGACAAAGACGTAGTTCTACGTCAAAAAACAGACGCACACAGAGTTGGTAACGGTCAGTTTGGTCAGTGACGTTTGACGAAAACCAAAAATAAATTGTCGTGGTACAAAAACCACCATTTCCATACATCCTTCGTCATTGACGAAAAGAGCCTTCACTTCTCTTTTTTCTATCATGCATGGACAAAAAAAAGCAAATCTCGATAACGTTTTCAAAGGGACGTATCAGCTTTTGTAAACAATGCATTTGATCGTTAATTTAGCGTAACCATATGGTTTCCTGTGGAAAACCTAAAAAATCTGCCGGAAAATGAGGAAATTGACGAAAATTTTATTCAGTCTCGGAGTAGTACCAATAGACTGAGTGAATCCAATCTTTACTTTTCTCAAATTCGGGAATTTTTCCCTGGAAAATCCTGGAAAAACCTGGGAGGCAAATTTACTCATCGCTGAGTTCCTGCACTTTTGGCGATTATGAGTGAACTAAACTCAAATTTGGGTCGTTCTCATTCGCCGTGTAGTTTCGTTCCGTTTCCCATACAAACTTCAAAGTACCTTCGCAAATCCATATAAATAATAACCAAATTCGTTCAAATGTGTTACAGCTGTTGAGGATCTCAATACACATCAAAAGAGCAATGTGGAGCTGAAGGTTGACCCACCCTAATGTAATAAGGGGAAAAAACAGAGAGCAAATAAAAAATATTAAAAACGAGAGCAGAACTCAAAATATTGCTCCTTAGTGATGTTTAACTGGCAAGGAATGTTATAATGAACTGCTCAAATGACATAATTAAATTAATGATACATTACATATAATGTTGTCAATACAAATCTCAAAGGCAAATTCTGCTTGGTTTACTATCAAAAGTGTTTGTAAATTTTTCATCTTCGTGAATCGTTGAGTGTTGATATACTTTTGTGAAAACCCGAACAAACAAACAAACGCCTAGGAGAAGGTACAGAATCTGTACGATACTACAGCAATGGGAACAAATCAGCATAATGAGATTAGATCCTCGGTCTCTTTTATACCGCATTATGTGCATTAGTCCACATTTAGAGCAGATTATGGAACAACTTTTGCAACGTAATTATTCGAAGTAATGTAAAAGTGAAAGGAATCGTATAATCAAAACAAACATCTCTACCAGTCAACTACACTAAAGCTAAAACTGATCACATGGATTTCACAAGTCCGATAATTAAAACCATTCACGAGATAACTCCATAAATTGATAGTTATAATTTATTCAAGATTCACAGGCATTAGACACTCGTTGCGAAACATGCGTTATCACTTTTTTTTTCCAATTCATAAACCTAACAAATAATTTACAATCATCATTCCAGAATCCATTCATACACATACTCCTGAATGAATCAGATCTTGCTACCAAGCAATTAAAGCTTCGTTATTATTCTCACGATCACGATCTAACATCCATCATTAAAATCATTCAAAGACCTTATCTTAGCTACAGCTAGCGCATTATAATATTCGTAGCATTTCACAGTCCTAATGACTTTTAGAGAGAAACCAAATACGCACATCCTATCTCGGAAAGGAAATTTCCGCTCCACTAGTGGTTTCTCCGCTTCAATCTCCGATCAAATTTGCCCAATTTCAGCTGATCCCACGTCGAACGACTAACGTTGACCATCACCTTCGGTTTGGGAAATCCGTTGAAGTTGGTGGCCAGTACCGTCCCATAAGCGCCCATGTTGTCGAACACGAGAAAATCTCCAAGCTGCAGTTCCTCCATCATCCATCCGGAAGCGATCAGATCCGTCGAATCGCACGTGGGGCCCCACAACGTTGTCGAGTAGTGATCTCGGCTACGAACTAGCTGACGATTTGCGGGAATCACAACCGGTGGATAGCGACGCGGGTTAAGCCAATCGAACGAACCGAACATCCCGTCGTTGAGGTAGTACATGATCTCCGAGATGATGCCATGAGGCGATCGGATGACCCTTTTCGATTGCACATGTGCCACTAGGGTTACGGCAGATGCAACGTAGTACGTTCCAGGTTCGGCGATAACCCGAACGCCGGACTTTAACGGGAAGTAGCGTTGAAGTGCCAGATTGACTGCCTTGACAAACGCGTCGATTGGTTTGTCGTGGTCACCTGGAAAGCCACCGCCGATGTCCAGCAGACGGAGATCGAAGTCAAGGTCGGTTGCAAGGTTGAAAAGGTTTCTAGCCGCTTTGATTGCTCCGTAAAACGATTCTGCATCGCTGTTCCCTGATCCTACATGGAAGCTGATACCGACTACGGTTAACCCGAGTGATTTTGCGTGCTTCAGTAGCCGAGGGGCTTCGTGTTCCGGATCGCAACCGAACTTCTTTCCCAGAGAAACCTGGGCACTGGCCGAATCGTAGCGTATTCTCAGCACAAGTGACGCATCCGAGTGCAGTCCTTTGATCTTGTCCAACTCGATCTCACCGTCGAAGGTCATCATATTGATACCGCACGACTTGGCATAGCTGATCGAGTCAACCGATTTTGCCGTGTGAGCAAAGATGATCTTGTTAGGATCGGCCCCTAGTTTGAGTACCTTTTCGATTTCCTTTTTTGATGCACAATCAAAGCCAGCTCCAAGAGCGATCAGTGTCCTAATGATCGCCGAATCGTCGTTGCACTTGACGGCGTAGAATGGCTCTACGCGTGGTAGCTTTTCCCGCCAGTTTCGATGCTTCGCCACAACATCATCTAGATTGAGGATATGTACTGGGTTCTCCTGCGGGCCACGAGCCACGACCGACTCGATCACCTCGTCCAGTGAAGACCCGTCCTCGATCAGGTTGTACCGAATATTGTGCATCTCACCCGCGATCTCCAGCTGATCAACTAACGTAAACAACTAAGCCCTTGAACTTCGTCTAAGGTACTTTTATAGTCTCCGGATGCAACTCGATCGGTGTTCCTCGCTGGGAAAAATGCGGATCATTTATGAATGAACATGATCCCCGCTCACTCCGTCAGAGCCCTACAGCTAATGGGGTTTGTGCAACATTCGGAAAATGTTCCCGGTGCGATTGTTGATCCGAGTAATGTCGGATATCAGAATGGGAGTAAATGTACAATAAATTACGCTGTTCCGAGCGCAATTAAAACACAATTCTATTTCATCTGACATTGAGATTACCTAAAGTAATCCAAATCGGTGACATCAAAGCAACCAATTTCGTATTCAATTTGATCTCCAGCTTTATTCGGGTCGGTCAGCATCTTGAGCTGGTGCTTGGTTTGGCACGAGCTAACAGGGAATTTCCCACGACACTCATCGAAATCGCACAACAGCGTTTAAACTGGACGACTGCTTCCAATCCCGCTCGTATTCGCACACGATCGCTGACAGGTCTATGCACACGCTAATTAAGTAATCACAATGTAAAGCAAAGATTTGTACCTGCGAGGCAATTAAATCTGTGATCAGCTCATTTTAAGACGTGATAATTGTTTATGTGCGTAATCTGGATTGTTTTGATGAGTTGTGATTGTTGAAGTCATTTTAGCAGGCTTCTTCGGTTGGTGCACATTGCTGGAATTACTGGGGTATTTTTCTATCGTCAACCCCAATCAAGATGTCGTGACGAATGTTTAACCACAAGATCACAATCGATTTCGGCGAATTGACAACCTTCGGCCTAATTGTTCGATGTTTCGTCGTTTCCATTCGCGAAAAAATACCCCAAACCAACACAGGGCTGCTGGGATCCCCGACCGTTCGATAAACGAGTAAATTGTGAGAGATTCACATTTATTTTAACATCATTTCTTCATGCACTGTACTGGGTACTGGATGATGCAATAACGCTGCGTACTTAATTCACCAAAAACACAAAAAGCAGCAATTGGCTGCCAAAGGTTAGCTGTTGTCTTGTGGCTATTGGGCTAGAAAGCAAATTTTTTTCTGCCGAACAATGACAATTAACTGCGATTGATTCAGCAGGCTTAATGCAGGTCCAAGACAAGATGCAAAACAAAAAGTGCAGCAATAAGAACGGAGTACAAAGGTAAATATCAGACTTTTCCGAACGAAAAATTTGAATTTGATAACGACAATCACTGCGAAGGATCAGTAATGATGGATGTGCTTTTAGTGCTCTTTAGATAAGATAGTTCAAATTATTCACGAAGATAGATTGCGAAAAGAATTGTGAAGATTTTTCCAAGATCAGGAATTTCCCAAAAACTTAACGAAGTCTCAGCATCTTGATCTTTTTTTTTAGGTCGTGCATGTATATTTTCAGTATCTCGAATCTTAAAAAAATGTGTCAATGTCAAAACAACCTTGATAATTCCACAGACAAACAGACGTACCTCTTTCTCCTCGTACGTCGTACGACTTCGTACATAAATTAAACGTTCAATTAAGGGGAGGTTCTCATTCAAAATTTCCAAAAAATCATGGCATTGAGGTAACTCTACACACAAAATCACGGCCTCCCTGTTCGGTAATTTTTTACTGGGTTTTTGAACAGCTGAAAAAGTCAGTAAACTTAAAAAAAATGTAAAAAATTGTATAAAAGTGATTTTTTCTTGAAATTTATACAGACTGTGTTCTTATTACATTTATTTGATGATAAAAATAAAATATGTTAAAATTGTTCGTTGCATTACGTGTGACCGTTATTTTCAGTTTACTGACTTTTTCAGCTGTTTGAAAACCCAGTAAAAAATTACTGACCCCAGTAAAATAATCTCTGTGTGTAAGACCCGAAGAAACGTGCTTAAAATTTTCGCTCAGCTCTGGTACTCTCTTCGGTCCCAAGCTAATCGATGCACCCCTCGAAACATAGGAAAATCTATGAATCTCTCATTTTATCTGTCTAACTTTCATAGTGAATCAAAACAAAAATAGTGTAGTACTAGAATTTCGACTGAAATGGGGTACGTTAATCGATTTGCTTGGGACCAATAGGCTAGTCAAGTAGTGAGCCAATTTTAAATCGTTTCACACTATTTTTTTTAGCTGGAAACCAGCAACATTTTGCTGGATTTTGCCGAACTGTAAAACCAGCAATCCGTCCAGCAAAATAAATGTTGCTGTTTTTCCAGCAAAACTAAATTTCATGAAACTGACAGTACTTAACTGTAGTTTCAGCAAACTGGAGTTTGGTTTACTGAAAGATCAGGAAACCCACAATTAAATTTATTTGCTGAATTTCCAATTTGATGGCACATAAGATTTAGGATGAAAATAAATAAATAAATATGAGATTGAAGATACTTCTTCGGACATCCATTGATTAATAAAATCAAGAGATTTAATATTATTTAAACTTTCCTTGATGTATAAATTTACGCAAAGTAACCCGTTACACAATTTTCTAGCTTTTTCAGATCCTCGACGAGTGGTTCTAGAATTATATTGTAGCTACCTCCACCTCTACAATTATATTGTAGCCGTACCGCTTGGCATCTGTTGACTTCGCGTATATCAATGGAAATACAGATTTTGTCGAAGGATTAAGTTGTCTTGGTAAGTTCTGAACTTTAAAACATAAAGATGCGATCTTTTTATTACCGCATCTTGAACTCAATGCATTACATGGCTCAACATCGTCCTCATAAATAATTAAATAATTATCATTCTAATGTGTTTTCAAAAAATGCACTGTTCTTAAAGGTGTTTCCGTCAGTAAAGCTACCTTTTTTTTTTAATCGTTATTTAAGAGATTTTTAGCCTAGTTCATCCATAGAGGTAACTCTAAGACTAGAAGGTCCCGAAATAACGTGCTCAACTTTTTGGCTCAGCTCTGGTACTCTCTTCGGTCCCAAGCTAATCGATTCACCCCTCGAAACATAGGATAAACCAATAACCCTTCATTTTATCTGTCAAACTTTCATAGTGAATCAAAACAAACATTGCGTAGTACTAGAATTCCGACTAGAATGGGGTACGTTAATCGTTTGCTTGGGACCAATAGGCTAGTCAAGTAGCGAGCCAATTTAAAATCGTTAGTTTTGTATTGATTGTTGGTTCATCTCTTTGTCATGGGGAGGTCTCAGAAGGAGAACCTCGGAAACGGAGTTTTTGTTTGACAGAGTGTTTTAATTTTACTAACATTGTTGTTGGGTTGTTTGCTGCTATTCTGCGGGTGGACACCGTCTCGAGGGCCGACGACTCATACCATGTGGCATCCCACCGCCTGCTAAGGCTGTAAAGTACAGCCTTCCTGGCTCTTCATAGGAAGTTAAAAAGAACATTTAACATTGAACTGAACAAGACGGCACCGTGACGTGACGTCCCGACAGCCGGAAGAAAACTCACAAACAGAAAATACAAGAGGACCTAACTAAATACAATGGTACAGTTTGGCATCCCTAAGGAATACCAAGAGGGCGTCAGCAGCGGGTGCGTTGTCCCCGAGGAGGTTCCGGATGCTGGAGGTAATCCCGTAGGCCTCCCTGAGGCTGTGGAATTCTGGGCAGACACAGAGGATGTGCTCCACGGTCGCTGGAACTCCGCAGATAACGCAGCTTTTTCTGAATGGTCCTCCGCCGAAATTGTGGCTAAGTCTGCAGTGTCCGATTCGGAGCCTGGATAACCTTCTGATCCGGTTGATTCCGAAGGTCCGTCCATGCCTCCATGCTTCCTTTAACCTTCCGGATAAAAGGTCCCCTGGTGCCGAACCACTGCTCGTTCCATGCCTTGCGCGTTATGGCTTTGATCCATCGTTTAATGTCTTGCAACGGCACCTTGTCAGTGAACCTGGGGCCGGATGGTCCAGATCCAGAAAGGTGGTCCGCTGCCTCGTTGCCTGGTATCCCACAGCAAACTTCAATGTGGCCTGGATCCACGGATGTGACGGAGCTGTCGAACGGAGTTCCTGTATGGCACTGTGGGAATCCTTCAGGATGAGGATAGGTTCGCTGGCAGGTACTGTGGCTGCATGAAAAATTGCAGCAGCTTCAGCAGAAAAAACGGAGCATTGCGGCGGTAAACTATTGCTGGCAAGCATACCACTTCCGGATACTCCGATGCCAACGCCTGAGTTGGATCGGGAACCGTCAGTGTACCGGTGTAGGAATTCGGCGTATCGTGAGCTGAGAAGTTCGGCAATGGACCAACGCTGGGCCTGAGAGTTGTCCCCTGCCTTGAACCGGCTCTTAATCCTGCTGTCTATCTTGGGGTCGGAAGAGAGCCAACTCCTCTCTCCGTGCCAGTGGGTCCTAGCCACCGGGGGGAGGTCGATGTTGGCGATCGTGCGCAGAATTTTGTTCCCCTCGTCGGGGAGGAAGATCCTGCCATTTCCAGAAGTTTTCGCAACAAATGATGCGGCTTTGATTACGGTTGCATTCATGACCTGGTACCGGAAAGGCATAATCGCCGCTTCCATGCAGGCCGAATCGGCAGGAGTAGAGGGCAGGAGACCTGATATAATCCGGATGCTGTTGTTAAACGTTGGGCCGAGGATTTCGTTATGTTTCCCGGATGCAATACACGTTATCTCGGCTCCGTATAACAGGCGGCTGTCGACGATAGTTTGCGCGACTCGAAAGCGGACCGCTCTATTGTTGGACCGGTGGGACTTGGATATTGTTTTGAGCAGGTTAATTCTGCTGCGGCAGTTCCGTTTAACCTCGTGGAAATGAGGGACGAACGACAGTGTGCGGTCAATGAGAACACCCAAGACCCGGACGGAATTTTTCGCGGGGATGGCTTGATCGGCTATTCTGATAGGGGTTCCGCTGACTCTGTGCCGCGATGGGCACACATAGCACCTCTCCGAGAGCTGAAAGCCTGATGACTCAGCCCATTTTGCTACCGCTGTAACTGCAGCTTGGGTAGCAGTAAAGCTACCATGTTGGCGCGTTAGGTACACTGTAAGCTGCTATTTGATTTATCATAGCAGTACGATTTTCAGCACATCTTAGAATCATTTTTAATGACTCTATAATTGGGATGTATTGAAATGTATCTTGAACTTGATAAATAACGGAAAAATAAGTATTTTGGCTTAAACATAAAAAGATACTACTATCTTAACGGTGGCTTATTTTCCTTTTACGAAACGTGTTCCTTCCCGTTCTTT